GCATTTTGAAGATTTCTAGTCAATAAATAATCCATTTTAACAATACTTCCCCAAAGAAGGCATCCTGTGGTCTAAGTTTCTTAGATTAGTGTTTAAAACCATTTACTTTGTTTTAGGATAACCATGCATGTTAAAAACACACAATTTCAGGGAGAGAGACCATAGAGTATCACAGCTAGAAGGGATCCCTCCTTCACCGCATAGATGATGCATAGGTCCATAGAAGGTTCTAGGACGGCTTTAGAGTCACAGATCTGTATTTAAACGTCCTTGCCCTGCTACTTACTAATGGTGTGCCCTTGGGCCAGAACAGGATCAGCTCATTCCTCTCCCAAACAATGCCTGCCTGGCTGATGTAGCGGGGACTGGATGATGTATTCTATGTGAAGTGCCCAGCAAAGGGCCTGTAGGGAGGAGATGGTCAACAAATGGTAATGCCCTCCCTTGGGCAATATCTTCCAGCTGTTCAGGGCAGAAGGAAGGCTAGAACCTTGTCTTCTGATTCTCATATGTGTGTGTGTGAGCACAGGGAAGCCACAGGAATGTTGGTAATGTTGCTTCCATGAAGAACATGGTTTAGCCATCTTGTAATTAGGTGGGGCTTTCGAGTTTTCAAAGCACTCACTTAGATGATATTGTTCACTCAGTGCAACAACATGGAAAAATCACACACGAGTGGTATTACTAGGCCCATGTTGCATATCAGGGACGGGAGGCTGAGAGGACGTGGTTTCCTTCAGTCCCGCGGCTAGCCAGGGGCAGATCTCGTGGCTTCTTATCTGTGGCTCTTTCTACTAGCGCACAATACCTTCTCACCTAAAGGCCAAACGGTTTCACCAAAGAGATAAGCAATAGTGAAAAAAATACACGGTGGGGGTCATAAATGACATAAGTAACCCACAATCCTGATTAGATAGTGAGGGAAAAATTGGACTTTGATATGATTGAGCAAAAGGTAGAGAGAAAACACTGACAAGGCAGTAAACAGCTTACCAGGGGGGAATATGAGACAGCGGGGACTGGTGGTCACTGCCGACCAGAGTGTAACTCTTTCCTGTCAGAGACCACTGGTCACTCTAATTCTGAGGTTCTGCAGCCCCATTCTTTCTAACTGCCTCTACCTTTGCAGCATCCTAACTGCACATGTGCGTTTCCTCAGTCAAGGCAAACCTCATTCTTTATCACATTCAGGCTCTAGTTGTCTCTAGTCTCAAGGGGGTGGTATTTCTAAGCCCTAGAATTTAGATCATCTTTAAAAAAAATTGTTTTAATGTTTATTTATTTTTGAGAGAGAGAGTGTGAGTGGGGGAGGGGCAGAGAGAAAGGGAGACACAGAATCTGAAGCAGGCTTCAGGCTCTAAGCTGTCAGCACAGAGCCCTGTACAGGGCTCGAACTCATGAACCACAAGATCATGACCCGAGACAAAGTCGGAGGCTTACCCAACTGAGCCACCCGGGCGTCCCTAACATTTAGATAATCTTAAATTATCACTGTCCCTCCGCATTTAGGTCTTGTAGTCTGGCATGCTGAATCAGATGGTATGGAGCCTGACCTGGCCATGTAGCAATTCGGAATATCTAGACTTTTCTTTCATGTCTCTTCATGGAGTCTTCACTGAACACTGCAGTAACAGCCACCGCCACCACCACCACCCCCACCACCACAATCTCTTGGTCCTTTCATATGCATTCTCTTATTTGGTTTGATTTGATTTGATCCTGACCTCAACTCTCTCTTCCCACTTCTTAGATTAGAAGTTCTTGACAACAGGCCAGTCTTAATCATCTCGTATTCTCTACAAAAGTGTACTCTCTGCAAAACGCCTCTGTAGATGGCAAAATGCCTTATACATACAACCTCAATAAAAATGTTGTGAGCTATGCTGAAATAACACCAGCTCTATCTCTGTGAACAAAATAAGGACCACTGCTTTCAGGGTCCTCAAACCATCCCAACCACCAAAGCAGATTGGGACAGTAAGGAAATATCTGTACCACAGATTAGAAAAGATATTTTAAAAGGCTATATAGACCCAATCATGGATCTTCCTTCCTTGTGTAGATGTGGCCCCTTTTTAGGAAATTTCTTCCTCTATATTACTAACCCTATATATTTGTAATTTTTTTTGAGAGAGAGAAAAAGAGAGAGACAGAGTGCAAGCAGGGGAGGGGCAAAGGGAGAGGGAGACACAGAATCCGAAGCAGGTTCCAGGCTCTTAACTGTCAGAAGAGCTCCCATGCAAGGCTCAACTCATGAACCGCGAGATCATGATCTGAGCCAAAAGTTGGTTGCTTAACTGACTGAGCCCCCCAGGCGCCCCTATAATATTACTAACCCTATATTGAGTCTAACTATGATACAGGAGATTAACTTGCATGTATAAGTTTGTGGACTCAGACCTTATAGTGCTCATGAAAACGTTTAACTCATGGTCTGTCAGTTGACTTATGTAGATATCATATTCAAATCAGAAGCATCTAGAGTGGGGTGGGGAGTGGAGAATAAACGTGGCAGCTTTTGGAGGTATTGACAGTCATGAATGATATCATCTTATTTTTGTCTGTTAGAAGAGTCTGCAGCTGGGGACTTTTAAACCAGAGTTATGCCTTCAGATCAAGCCACTTAAGAACAACTTACTCTGTGCTAAACCCCTTGTCATATGTCATTTCATTCCTGCTTCATAATCAGTTTCGGATGGAGGCATCGCCAGCCCATTTTACAAATGGCAAAACTGAGGATCAAAGAGGTTGGAAGATTCCCCAATGTTTCATAGCCCCCAAGTCCCATGCTCTTTCTGCATATCATGGCACCTCAGTTTTGAACATTTTACTAAGTTAAGAGACTTAGAAAGAAAGAACCAAAACCCTGCTAGCAGTCGCTCAGGAATTGCTGTTTCTCTAAGCTCCAGTACGCCTTATCCGTGCTTTCCTGAACTTTGAGTTTCAGTTGCACATGAAACCGTGGAGGTGACCAGATGCTGATGCCACAGGAGCAGCAGCAGGGCACCACTAGGGGTAACGTGCTGGTGATCCGCTGACACGCCTGGCCAGGCTGCTGTCCACGTGAAAGATGCTCAGCAGAGCAGGGCCACCCAGGGCTGCCAACGCAAGGCATTCTTCCCCGATGAATGCAGGTTTAATGTCCAAGGTTATAAACTGCTCGGAGGGAGGAAGGGAAAGGACTAATCTACACAGGGTGTGGTCGCCAAAAGGTAAGCAGCTCTGCTTCAGACCGCTGGCTTGGAGGAGACAGCATCCGCATGTACCTGTCCTGTGACTCTGGGCAAGTTACTTGCTTTCTCTGAACGAGAGTTTCCTTATCCAGAAAATAGGAGGAATAAATCCTTCCTCAGAGGGGTGCTGAGATCGCAAATCATGTATAGAAAGAACCAGAGGCATCGTAACACTTCTAAAAATAGCTATTAGTATTGTTATTGCTTTCAGTGTTATAACAAGAAGAATTAGTGCTGGTAGTGTAAGTAGAATTATCTCTACCATGCATCTCTCAGTGGGTGGCATGATTTAGTCACAATTCTGACACTCCAGCCCTGACCACCAACAGATGTCACTAATCCTGCTCTGCACTCTTCCATCACTATCCACCTTTTCTTCCTCCATTCTTCTTTGACACAAATCAAATCTGGTGAAACTCACATGTCCCCAGAGCAGGTCATTGTAGTCTGATGAATCAAGCACCAGGGGCTTAAATGAGCACCAGACGTACATGAGGAAACCAGAAAACATGCTATCAGGTGGCAAGTGGAGTCAAGAACACTGATGGCCTGTACTTGGCTTAGCCCTCTGCCATCTCTAGGATAGGCCTTAGCCAAACCCTCCCTAGGAAAATGAGCTTCAATTTTGTGTTTCAAACATTTCCATTTCCTTTCATAATCACATTCAATGTCTAACACTCCCCAACTTTTAGAAGCTTTCCGAGTCTAAACTCTGACAGACAGTTCAGTTCTTTGCTTCTTTTTCTTTCATTTCATTGATGGTTCATTCATTAGAGTGTTACACTCTATACCATCGGACGCTTGGTTTTTAGGGTCTTTATCCTCCCATTTTATGATTTATTCCAAAGGAATATATTCCTGAAAATTTTATACTTTCCTGTGATCATGGTGACGGTCACTCCATTATCTTTATATTTCTTCATAACTTTTATTTGCCACGTTCATTATTTACCTAAGGAGGCATACATTATTTTTATTTGCCTTCTCTTGAATTTGATTTTGGTTTAGTGCTCAGGAAAACAAAACAAAACAAAAACACCGTAAAATACACCCACACCCACACAGTGTATATCTAATAAAACTGATGACTTATACCAATCGCTTTGAGTTTTATTCTAGTTTTTAGCAACATTAAAGACAAACATGTAAAGCATAAGAAAGAATGAGAACGGGGTAAATACAGTGTGTTCTGGCATTAAAAACATCATGGGGCCAGCTTGGTTCTTGGGGAGTAGGAAGGATCTTTCATGCCTACTGTGTGCAGGCACTTTACAAACTCATTTAATGCTCTTGGGAAGTTGAGAACCCATTTTACAGAGGAGGATATTAAGGCCCAGAGAAATGAAAAGAAACAAACAGACATAACACCTTGGCCAAGGTCATGTGTTTAGTAAGTGCTATTAGCAAAAGTGACATTCTTTCCAGTTTCTCCTGGTGGCTGGAGAGCTCTGTCATTTACACGCTGTGTGACTTCGGGGAATCCCCTAATCCTCTAGGCCTCAGTTTTCTCATTTGAAAAGTGGTGTCTAGGTTAAGAACTACATGGTCTCCAGATAATCGGCTGTAGCTTTAACACTGTGAGTCCAACGGGTGTGTGAGCGTGATCAGGATTGGCTGGTATGAGCCAACCAGGTCTTGGATAAACACCTCCCTATCAGGCCAGGGGAGGGTGAAAGTTAAAAAAAAAAAAACCCACAACAAACAAACTTGACAAGACCTCTATAAAAACGGTGTGTTCCCAAAGGCTCGTCCTATTTGGCGGCTGCTGCCTCATCCACGGCTTCAGACACCTAAGAGGACTCTCCTTCCCAACCCGTAAGTAAAAGAACTTTCTTTGTCTGCCCGGACAGCATCTGGGAGTAAGCCGTTAATGACGTTGCTACCCAGGTAGAGGAGAAAGTCTGTTTGCTTTTGTTTTGAGGAGAAACTTGATTGTGGCTGAAAACGTGATGTTGTGCTGAAATGATTTTTTTCCTCCCTAAGCGTAAATGCTCATCCACACCTTTGCTTACCCTGTGGGGGCAAAATGCTCGAGACTGATGCCAGCTTCCAGTGTGACCTGCGTGAAAGCTCTTAGGTCTTTGGCCTGGGAGAAACAACTTGAGCGCACTTATTTGCTTAGGTGCCAATCGAGTTTTGAGATTCTTGCTCATTTCTCTTCTCGCCATGGCAACTGCATAATTCAGTGATTTATTTACATATCTATTGCCTGCTGTCTTTTCTTCCCTCTCTTCCTAGTCCTACTAGTGCTGGTACTGAAGCTCCTTTGTCACACAAATGAACTGCTGGTGTGTGCTGTTTGTTACACTTCCCTTCACTCACTGCTCAAATGAGAAAATGGCACAGGCTTGGAATTGTCACAGAGCACATTTGTTTATGAATCGTCAAACTTCCACTTGTTTGATACTTTCTGTAACATTTCCTACTTCGAAGATCCTATAGTTTAAGTTATTTGGAATCAAAAGCTGCTGGCATACTTTAGGATATTTGTTCTACTATCTGGAAAATAGATATGTTGTGAGGATATGCTGCCTTTACAAGCAGGGGAGGGGCAGAGAGAGAGGGAGAGAGAGAGAGGGAGAGAGAGATTCCCAAGCAGGCTCTGCGCTGTCTAGCCTAGAGCCCAATAGGGGGCTTAATCTCACAAACTGTGAGATCATGACCTCAGTCAAAATCCAGAGTGGGACTGAGCCACCCAGGCACCCCAGGAGATGCTCCCTTTTAAAATACACTATTTCTAGTTACCTAGGGCTCCATTAGCCAATTAGGATCCCGAAGGGGCTTGGGCTCTGCTGCCATTAAGCCAAAGCACATCTGGGGACCACCCAGACCTACGGTAGAGCCTGAGGTGCTGAATGGAGACCTAGAAGTGTCTTTGACCTAAGTACCAGTTTAGAAGAAAGAGCAACACTCAGCTCTCTGAGCTACCTCACATATGTTCAAAGGCATCAGGGATCAAGCTGTCATAGGGCATCTCATTGCACTTGTCACTGTGACATTGGGTAGGGGGTGAAGCTATGGGCATCTTCACACATCTGTATGTAAAATTTGCTCACAGTGCCTGGACATCATAGGCTTTCAATGAATCAGCTACTCATGTCTTCTTGAAAACCCATCTGCCTTGCACATGGAGAAGTGAATGGACTCTCTACTTCTTTATATTTCTCCAGGAGTTAAATATTCATATTTTACAAATCATTATCTTTTCACTTCTTCAAGGAAGGCAGAAAGAATTTCAGCTATTTTGCTGAAAAAGGATTCCAAGTCAGAAGCCAGTAGGATGTGGTTTATAATCCCAGTGCATCATAATTTAGAAAGGCATCAGACATATTCTTCCCGAGGTTCCATTTCCCCATCTTTAGTGTTGGCAGGGTTGATATCTCTGAGATCACTTGCACCTCTGTTTTTCTGTGATTACCTTCTATTCTCATATTTTCGTAAAAACTTCTCCCAGATTTGTATATGTATCACCTGTTAATATAATATATTAATTTATATATAATAAATATTGTAATATATAAACCTATTCATTGAGAAATCAAACATTACAAAAAATTTATAAAGTAAAATGTGAGAGTCACCCCATCCCCTTTCAATCCCCACAGGTAACTCCAGGGTGGTTATTCTCTGCTTAGTATGTGTTATATAATTAAATTTTTTTGTTTATTTATTTGTTTTGAGAGACACAGAGACAGCATGAACAGGGAAGAGGCAGAGAGAGAAAGGAAATCCTAAGCTCTACACCATCAATGCAGAGCCTGATACAGGGCTAGAACTCACAAAATTACAAGATCATGACCTGAGACAAAACTGAGAGTCACATGTTTAATGGAATGAGCCACCCAGGTGCCCCAAACCATTTTTTTAATTAAAAAAGAATGATATTAAATATTACACACGTCCCTGAAACTTGCTTCCCTCCTCCCATTTTACTTAATAATATAATGTAAACAACTTCCCATCACACTTGAAAACCAGATTGGCTTGAGACCTCAGTGAGCAGAGGCTGGGGAGCACAGAGATCATTCTCTGCGGTGATCCAGCCCTGGCTGGCTTCCTGTCTCCAGGGATGAACGTTGGCCTGTGACCCTGTTTTATGATTAACAGAGGGGCAACATTTGTGCTGATGTGGTACAGAACTTTAATCTCTCTGTAGAAGTTTAACTTCCCATAAGCAGTAGTGGTTCAATTTGACCTTTTCTCTGTTTTTTTTCTGGTTGAGTCAGCATCAGAAAACGAAAAAATAGCTTGGTAGCAAATAGAAACATGTAATCTCGGGTACTTATTTTTTTTAATATTTAGAAAGAGAGAAATAGTAATACCCAACATTTTCATAATGTATTATAAAACGTCTTCCAATTTATCATGCAATTAATTTGATAAATATATTTTGAGCAACTACAATGAGTAAGGTGCTCACAAGTGACATTAGACCTGGCAGTGAGACAACCAGAGCAGATGTGAGTGCCATTTATTCCATAGTAAACTAAGACTCAGAGAAGTTACTAACTTGCTCAAGGTCCCAGTTAGGAGGAAGCAGAGCTAGTCTCTGAACCCACTTCTGTCTGATCTAGGATCAAAAACCTGTGTGAATATATGAGATATTTATGAATTGACAAGGTCCCTGGGGTAAGGGTGATGGGCCACGGCCCAAGGATTTTGGATCCTCTGGGGGTGTCATCAACAAGTACTCTGGGGGCATTATCAATGACATTAGAGTCACCCAAAGGCTGATTCCTTTCCCCAGGCTCACTGTTTCCTTGAAAGAGGGGAGCACTGCCCCTTATCCTAACTTTGTGCCTTATTAGTTACATGTCCTTGGACAAATAATTAAACTCTCTTATATTCTTTCCTTATCTATTGCGTAGTGTGTTTGTGTGGGGGGGAGGGGAATGGAGGAGGAACCCAGCTGCCTTCTGAGGGTATAATGAGGAATAAATTGTATAGTGCATGTAAAGCAATTAGCAGAGTACTTGGCAATAAATGGTAATTTGCTATTATTGGGTGATGTTTTCCTTTTGTTTCACTAAGGAAACATCTTTATTTCTTATTTGTTAATTCCTTTATGGAATTACCTAAACTGAGAGAGAAAATTTGTACTTTGGTCTGAAGGTCACCAATTTCAGGTTGGCTTTTATCTGCATAAAGATCTAGTGGCCAGATTTAAAGCTAGTAATCCTTGATTACAGTTTTAGGAACTAATATATAAATGAGGCGAAACACTATCTTCAGGTGTCTGGGATGGGAGGGGCCTCGAATGATCATCTTCTCTAGATATCATTGCCCATTAGCCTATCCTGTCCCCAATGACAGCACTCTGGTTCCACTCTTTGGGGTTAATGCGAGAACCCCTGTTGAAGTGAGAGTGGCATCAATGATACCTTCTTGTGAGCTAGTTCATAGCCATCTATTTCTTATATCAACTTTGCCTTGAAGGGATGCAGAAAATGTGAAGAAATTGATTTGCCATGATGGGCAACACTGGGTGGGGAGCTCTGCCTCATCCTAACTGAGACATTGGACAAGTCCCTTAACTTTGCTGGGTATTAACTAGCTCTTTAATTAAAGAAGACAATAGCTGCCGTGGTTACCTCATTGCTGAGAGGATTAAATGAGAACTGAGATGCCCTTGTGCTTGCGGGAAGTAGAAAGCAGGCATGGGGCATCTTCCCTATGGATGAGTTTGAGAGGGAGGAGACCGAGGAAAGGAGGAGGTCAGAGGATTGAATAAGAAACCACTCAAGATAATCCTTACCACCATTTTTTTTCTTTGATAGTCCAACACATGCAAAATTAATCTTTCTAGCATCCAGATGAGAGTGCTGTGAGCTTGCATTTTTGACTAGCTCAAAGTGGCAGCTGAACAGGGGCAAGATTCTTTTCAGAAGACCACTGCTGAGGAGGGCGCTTACATAGGGGATCTTTAAACCAGAGTCTCTCTTTGTTAGAGCAGTGAAGCTGAGAGTGATTGGATGGAGCAGGAGGGAGCAGGGATCACTGTATGGCTTTGGCATCTTTAGAGTCCATAGGAGGCTCCAGTCCAGAGCCACTTGGGAAAAATCCTGCCCATCTATCCCAAATGGTGTCATAGGTGGTTGAATATAAGAAAAAAAGAGACTTGCACACCATACTTTATCTCCCAAAGCTGAAGGGAGGTTAACTGTAAAACCAAATGGCAGTTCCTCCTCTCAAGTTTGCTACCCAAAGAATAATTCAGGCTAACAAAATAAAATGGGAGATGGGTCATAGAAGCTGAAAGCCTCACTGTCCTGGCCTCAAGTCATCCAGAGCACCCAAAGGCACTGGAGATCCACAGAGAGTCAGTTACCACAGTGCCATCTATTTGTCAGATTTGAGTGGGTCACTAGTTAGCTGGTTCAGTCTCGGAATCAGTGAACCCAAAGGTCTTCTGGAAGACATTCTATTTAGGATGACCATGAAATTTGGCATCCCACCTTCCGTCGTTATGGCTAGTTGCAACTACTTAAGCTAGAGGGGGAAAAAACCCAGACTTCATTTGTTTATCCATCATGGATGTGGCCCAGAAATGTAAGAGGGGCCCACAAGGTTTGGTAGCACACCTTGGCTGTCTTGAATCTGTCTGAGCCACCTGTTCAGGACACTCTTGCACTCTTTTCCAGACCCGTCACCATGGCCCATCGATTTCCAGCCCTCACCTCAGAACAGAAGAAGGAGCTCTCAGAAATTGCCCAGCGTATTGTTGCCAATGGGAAGGGGATCCTGGCTGCAGATGAGTCCGTAGGTGAGTGCAAGTAACATCATACAACAAGTGTATTCTTATTTCTACGACTTAGCGATGGCCATCAACAATCATATTCTTTCCTCTCAGAGGAGTAAAGGTACACAGCAGTGGGAGCAGAAGACCCTGTGAACATAGACATTTTGGGTCCTGTGGTTCCAATAAGTAGATTTCTGAAAACCAAAGGAAGAGGCTCAAGCCCTCCATTTTAAGGCCCCTTGCCAGGGATCATTTGAATCGAGACTATAGCAAGGCCAGGAACTCAGTAATAAGAATGAGGTCAGATACACAGACCTCTGCTGCTGCTGAGAAGTCAGTGTAAAGTCACCTAAGGAAGATTGGGGAGGGCAGAGAAATGTCTATATCTAGAACAGGGAAGGGCTTGTGGCTGAGAGAAGTCCAGGATGGTGCAAGGGAGGGTTGTGGCTGGCCTGTATGGCCCACCATAAAATAATAGAGGCCAGAGGAATCAAGAACCCACCCCATCCCTCCTTCGACTGTATGTACATCTCGTCAGATTGAGGGATGGACCTGGGGCTGGGGGTGGGGGGGTGATCAGAGAGTCCTGAGGGCCTTACAAACCCACTTAAACCCAATAGTGGCTTCCACCTCCCCGGAATATTTCCATTCCATAGACTTCCTAACCAGCATCCTGACAGCAGGCCAGGTCTTTCCCTAGGGAGCCAACAAGGGAGACAGGAGTTTTGAAGATCTGAACAAAACAGAGTCTTGCTGTCCTGCTGAGGGTTTCTGAGCTAGAGTGGAGGAGGCTGGCAGTAAAGCCCTGGCTTGCCCCTCCAGCTGCTTTGTCCCGTCCACCTTATAGGCACCATGGGAAACCGCCTGCAGAGGATCAAGGTGGAGAACACTGAGGAAAACCGCCGGCAGTTCCGGGAAATCCTCTTCACCGTGGACAACTCCATCAACCAGAGCATCGGGGGCGTGATCCTTTTCCACGAGACCCTCTACCAGAAGGACAGTCAGGGGAAGCTGTTCAGAAACATCCTCAAGGAAAAGGGGATCGTTGTGGGAATCAAGGTGAATACTTCCATTTCCACCTCACTTCTGCCTCATCCCAGCCCAACTCTCAGGTCAGTCACTGGACCAACACTCTGGACACCCTCACCATCCAACTGTCATTCGTACTCCTTTCCAGCATCATTCTCTCCCTGAGGACCAGATCCTCTTCTAGGTTTTTCTGCCAGTGCCGCCTTCTTCCAGCCAAGTTTTCTATAAGGTACTTAATCTCCTGGTGTCCCAGTTTCCTCATTTCTCAAATGGGAATAGTAGGGCCTACCTCATAAGGCTCTTATAAGGATGAAAGGAGTTTTTAAAACAGTTCCTGTCACATAATTATTATTTAGTTCCGGATCGCTATTATTGAAGTTATAATTCTGTCAACTCAAACCACATGAGCTTCTCAGGAGTGAAAACTGGTACAGCTTGAGTGCTTACAACTCCAAGTGCTCATTGAATTCTCTTCATAACCTCTGGAGGTCAGATCAGTTATTATCCTAATTTTAGAGATGGGGAGAGAAAATGGAATTACAAGGCATAGTGTAACTTGCCCACAGCAAGGCAAAACTGGAGCCAGTTCAAACCCAGACTATCTACCTCTCTGGCTCATGACCTCAGGTTCTGGTATGCTGAGAGTAGGAGCTGTGTCTGCCGGAGGCCACGCCGGCTCCGACAGGTCCAGGGGTCCCTGAAGGATGGACGGTGTCGGCGAAAGAGAGTGAGAGAGCCCCGAGATCCTTTCTGATCACCAGGCAGGCATCTCTGTCCTGTCGGTTTTGGTGTCTTTATTTATAGGTTAAATGATAACATGACATCAGAAAAAGGAATTTTTACAATGGATAGCTCTTTGTGATAAGATGCTTTGGAAAGTGTACAGAAGCAGGTTTTACAGAAATATTCTTGCAGAACTATTGCAATTATAGTGAGGTTAAGTAAATCTTATAACTAGAGAATTAGGGGATTCTTAGTAAAAGACAGGATACATATTTGTTCTAAGTTAATAACGTTAAGGTTAGGTCATAGGTTAAGTGTATAGATGGGCTAAGAGTCATTCTGTCTGACTCTCAAATGTATGTTTTTGAGTTGGTTAATAAGTTGTTTGTGGAAACCTATTTGATGCTGAATGTGTGAAACACTATGGAGGCCCTAAAAGTGTCAGCCTTTTGTTTGTGGGTAATGTTTTAGCTACTCTTATCTATCCTCATCCCAGCCACCTGTAAGGGAGGGTGTTTGCAGAAAGTAGGCCTTGGGGAAGGGACTGCCATACATCACCAATTAGAAGGTGTAAGTATTAACTTAAGTTCTGCCTTTATCTGTACCTTAACTCTAAATTAGGCTCTTTGTCTCGGGGCCAGGCTCAGTTGTAATTCTTGTGTTCTTAACCCTCTAAGTCTTGGATCTTCAAGGCCCTTAGGAAGAGCCTTTTGACAATCATCCATAGAGCTTTCATCTAAAATCTCTCTTGTAAAGGCAGGAATATGCTTTTCCTTATGAGGTATCTGTGTTCAGAATATTGGTCTGTTATGGAATATTGTGAGGCCTGGTCAATACCAGCACAACATGAGCCAGTAGTAGCAGGAGATACCAGTTTTTATTTCTCATGGCAGTAGCTGTGCAAACACTGCCATTTCCTTGCTGTGACTGCCATCCATAGAGGCCGGTGCGGCTCCCGGCATGTGTCTTTATTTTTTTGATTTCCTGGAATAATGTAGTGCCTGATATGTGCAGGTGCTCATGAAATGTCTCTTGAACACATAATTTAAGGGAAGCTGCTCCTATATGATTCCTATACAGCATCCCAGGTACTGTCAGATTACTTCTTATTTCCCAAGCTCCTGGTGTTTTCCATCCTTTCCATTCTCTTAGTGTTGACACTCTGACATTGTTCCTTCCAGGTAACTTCCCTCCTGTTATGGACTGAATTGTGTGTCTCCACCCCTCTCTCCATCCTGTGACTGATACACCTTCAGAATTCACCTCCTTGGCTTATGAAAAATGACAGCTGTTAGTACCAGAGGCTCTGCTTGTGTTTTCCTGGGGCCCATGACATCTGCTAATTACCTGTTAATTACATTCACAGTTAGACCAAGGAGGTGCTCCCCTTGCAGGAACCAACAAAGAAACCACCATTCAAGGTAAGGGTATCACCTGCTGATATGAATCATGCCAATATGTATTAGGAATGAAGGCAAGCAAAGAGGGGAGCAAGGGAAAACAAAATATGAATATCACACTGGTTTTAGAGCCACACTCACCTGCTTTTCAATCCCAGCTCCTCTATTTGGTGACTGTGTGACCTTAGGCTAGTCGTGTAAATGTTCTGAGCCAGTTAAAATGGGATGACAATGTCTACTTTGCAGAATAGTTGTGGGAATTAAATTAGATAATGTACATAAAGTGCTTACCACAGTGCTTTGCACAGAGAAGATACTCTGTACCCGAGAGCATACGTTTTAGAGAAAAATCCAGTAGCAGAAAAGAGGAAAGGTCCCAAGCTTTGGGATCAGACTCACCAGGGTTTGACTCCTGGTTCTATCACTTACTAATCAGACAATTTCGCAAGGTGCTTCACTGCCCAAGTAGATAAGTATGAACCACAGCTTTGGGTTAGCTAAACAGAATTTGAATTCTCGCTCTGTCACTTGTTAGCTATGCAAACTTGGTAAAGTCACTTAACCTCTTGGAGCTTGTTTTTTCACATCTGTAAAACTATTATAATATTAACTATTAGAATTGTTATGGCAATTAAATGAAGTGTGCAAAATGCCTAGAATCATGCCTGGAACATAGTAAGTACTAAACAAATAGTAGTTCCTTCTGTTCTTCTTACAAAGTATAAAGCCCCAGATCTTTGGGCTCAATATTGGGATTGGTATTTATTTGCCTGGATGTTTTCAGTCCTTAAGCTCCACCGACTGAAAGGTAAGGCATGGAATAACTCCCTCACTTCATCAGTGCCCCATGGATCAGAAATAAAAGTGCAAAGAAGCCTTTTTCTCTTTTGTGACTTGCAGGGCTCGATGGCCTTTCTGAGCGCTGTGCCCAGTATAAGAAAGATGGTGCTGACTTTGGGAAATGGCGTGCTGTGCTAAGGATTGACAACCAGTGTCCGTCCAGCCTTGCCATCCAGGAAAATGCCAATGCCCTGGCCCGCTATGCCAGTATCTGTCAGCAGGTGCTCTGCCTTCCCCTTGGGCTAAAATAACAGTAGGAAAGAACTTTCTTCAGAGATTCTCTTTCCAATTTTACTATAAGTACATGAGCCTTATCTCACCTTTATATCCTGGTGGCATTTTCTACCACTTTTGCTGTAGCTAAGTATGATGGGGAAAGATTTGGTTCCACAAGTTAGCTGTGAACTCCAAGGCTGATGCCATCAATAGCTGTCCTCTGCCAAAGCTCTAAAAACTTAGTCTTAAGAGTGATTCAGCCCCTAAGGTCAGGGGACTTGCTTGCCTATGCTCCATCACATCTAAAACATGATCTTCGGAGATCCCTAGCTCCAGAGTGATAGCTCTAATTTAGCCCCAATCCAAATAATATCTTGGAGGATGGTGACCTGACACTAGTTTCCAACATACGTTCAAGTGTTCTGGGATCCCAGTTACGTCTGATTTGCTTGTGTGGGTGTTATGTTGGAGTTACCAGCATTCTCAGAACTATAAACAGTGCTTAATTCCTTAATTAACCCACACAAGGGGGCTCTTTCTTAGTGATCTTGACTGCCCCAAATGGGTGACAACTAGGTTCTGAGGTAGCTAGTGTAGTCTCTAACATAATCTGTATCTACAGAAATTAAGGGTTTTTATTTATTTTTTACCCACTCCCAGGAGAACTTTTTTTTTTTTTTTAACCTCACTGTGCTTTTTTGGCCAAGCTACAAATGCTCACTAGAGATCCCATTAAATTTCCTTTCACTGCCTTTAAGTCAATGAATGGTATTTATCCATAAGGGCTTCATTTTATACCAACTGTGACCGTCAAATATCTTTTTTTAAGTTTATTTATTTATTTTGAGAGAGACAGTGTGAGTGGGGAAGGGGCAGAGAGAGAGAGAGGGAGACAGAGAATCCCAAGCAGGCTCCTCACTGCCAGCACAGAGCCTGACGCGGGGCTTGAACTCACAAAACTGTAAGATCGTGACCTGAGCCAAAAGCTAGAGCCCAGATGCTTAACCGACTGAGCCAGGCGACCATGCAACTGTCAGACATCTTCTTAAGGAAATGATCACAGTGAGCAGTGCTGCTCTTTTACGTCCTTTTCCTCCTAACCCTTTTTCCTTTTTAGAATGGGCTGGTACCCATTGTTGAACCAGAGGTACTTCCTGATGGAGATCATGACCTGGAACACTGCCAGTATGTTACTGAGAAGGTAAGTCTTGAATATAAAAGTCCCAATTCCAGTTGAAAAATCTTGGTACTTAACATATATCGGTTGTGATATATGAAATATTCTTCAGTTGGAATCATTATGTAGCATTGAGAAGGTAAGGAGGTACTTATCAAACACCCCCCCCGCTTTTTTTTTTTGGCACAGTGGTATTCTCCATATGGAAAAAGCACAGAATTTTCAGTACTAGGACTTCCATTTCACAATCCATGTTCCCAGCGGTGGGACCTTTGGTAAATCCTGTTATCATTTTGGATCAGTTACATTATACGTAAACAAAGAAATTTAAAAATAAGATGAGCATATGTGGAGTTTAAGAAACAAAACTGATGAACGTAAGGAAGGGAAGGAAAAATAAGATAAGAACAGAGAGATGCAAACCATAAGAGACTTTTTTTTTTATGTTTTATTTATTTCTAGGAGAGAGAGAGAGAGAGAGAGACAGCGTGAGCAGGGGAGGGTCAGAGAGAGAGAGAGAGTCACAGACTGAAACAGGCTCCAGGCTCTGAGCTGGCAGTCAGCACAGAGCCCGACGCGGGGCCCGAACCCACGAACCGCGAGATCATGACCTAAGCGAAAGTCGGACGCTTAACCGACTAAGCCACCCAGGCGCCCCAAGAGACTTTTAAATATAGAGAACAAACTGAGGGTTGCTGGAGGGGAGGTGGGGGGATGGGATGAATGGGTGATGGGCATTAAGGAGGGCACTTGTTGGGATGAGCACTGGGTATTATATGGAAGTGATCAATCACTGGGTTCTACTCCTGAAATCGATACTCGACTGTATGTTAACTAACTTGAATTTAAATAAATAAAATTTAAAAACCTTTATATTAAAAATAAATGGGTAAAAATAAAATGAGCATCACACGAGAAGATGTAATTAGAAGGTACTTCATTCATACTTGCAGTGTAACCTGATTTCAGTTTCTCCACTTGCAAAAGCAGGTGGACTGAGATGAAGCTGGTTGGGAAGCTTTGGCCAAGCCACATACAAGAATGCATTTGGCTTGCATCCCTGCGACGTAAAAGTCAGGTCAGGTGACTGTCAAGCTGGCTCTGGGTTTCACCTGTTTGGGCCTCTTGTCCTTCAGGTCCTTGCTGCTGTTTATAAGGCCCTAAACGACCATCATGTTTACCTGGAGGGCACCTTGCTGAAGCCCAACATGGTGACTGCTGGACATGCCTGTACCAAGAAGTATGTGCCAGAGCAGGTGGCTATGGCCACTGTCACAGCTCTCCATCGTACGGTTCCTGCAGCTGTTCCTGGTAAGGCTTTCCTTCTCCTCTGACTTGAGGTCTTAGCTCTATCCTGCGAAGGAGTTCTACAAGCACTTGCGTTTGTCTAAGAGTCTTCTTTTATCCAGGAAACAGACCTCTGTATCTCAGAGGCGGCGAGCGCTTCCCCTCACACTCCGTGAGACCACATCTCCTGAGTCTGTCCAAATGCACAAAATCCATTTATTTCCTCGATATTTAATCACCCTCCTTATTTATTAAAACCCTTCCCTTTTTAGCCCAGTTAATCTCAGCAAAAGCTAACTAATTTGTCCAACCCAGTTCCATGCAAACAGAGAAAGGATTGAGGCATTACGTTTGCTTTAGGCTCGTTGCTTGCTTTGTCAAGCCGGGTACATAAGCTGGGAATAGTAGAGAGGAATGGCTTATCTCCTTCCAGGCATCTGCTTCTTGTCTGGTGGCATGAGCGAAGAGGATGCTACTCTCAACCTCAATGCTATTAACCTCTGCCCTCTACCAAAGCCCTGGAAACTAAGTTTCTCCTACGGACGGGCCCTGCAGGCTAGTGCGCTGGCTGCCTGGGGTGGCAAAGCGGCAAACAAGAAGGCGACCCAGGAAGCTTTCATGAAGCGGGCCCTGGTAAGATGCTACTACTTCTTATCTACTCGATCAAGTGGATACTCAGAGCTTGGCTCTCTTACCTGAAGAAGCATTGCTTTTATTCAGGCCATGATGGTATCTCTAGAAAGTGTCGACTAGATATTTGAAAAGGTGGCATTAGAGCTCAGTAGGAAGGTGAGGGCTAGAGAGAGTTGTGAATTATCCACACTGGGAGTTTCGTTGACAGTAGACTGAAGGACAATCTCCACAGAGACACTGGAGAGGGAAGATAAGAGGGCCAAGGACTGAACCAGGGCACCTTTCATTTTGGGGAGATGAAGAAGAAAGTCACAATGACAAGCAGCAAAAATAATCCCAGAACCAAAGATCCTGGGAACAAGTAGAGACAAGTTTCAAGGGGATCAATAATAACACACTACAAGGAGATTCAGAATAAAGGCTGAGGGAAAGCGGACATTGGCATTTAGGAGCATATACAGTGACCCTCAGCACAATAGTTTCAATAGAGAGAAGAGGAAATGTTGTCAGGAAGGAAGGTTGTCAGGAAAAGGCCCGGAAAGGATATCAGGAGAAATAAGGAAAAAAAGGGATTTTATTCAATCAGTTGCCATTCCTTTTTGAATACCTGCTATGAGCCAAGGACAGGGGTGAACAAAGTAGATGCAGATATTGCCTTCAGGGAGCTTAGAGTTTAACCAAATAGGAGATAGCGTGGCATGTTTAAATGTAAAGCAGAAGGATCCAGAGGAGAGATTAAAGGCAAGGTCAGTGGGGATAATTGAGAAGACAAGGAGTTAGAAGAAACAGGATTGCATGAAACTAAATATTAAATGCAGGTGACACAGTTGGTTTTGGAAAGGAGGGAAGAGGCAGCAAAGAAGAGAAAAATGGGTTTGCAATCAGGTCTGTAGAGGTGAAGGGATGTAGCAGTTGATTCCAGTCGAGGCCATCTGTTGGGGGTGATAAGGGAATGGAGATTTCAGTCTTAACATTGGGGAAGCTCAGAATAGCTGTTGGAGTAGCCGGGGAGGAAACCAACCAGACATCATGGTCGAGCATCAGGCATGGTACAGCTGAAATGAGAGTAAGTTTGTGGTATGTTAACTTAGATCTTGAATTTTCCTAATAGCTCTCTTAATCATGTGGGAAGATCTGGATCAATCTCAGTGGGAAATGGCAGCATAGAAGAGTCAAAGTTTAATAGGGAGCTAGGACAGTGCTGAATTTGAGCGACAGCCCCAGTTTGGCTTGCTGATCACAGAGGAGGCCGGGCAAGGAATCAAGCATAGCCAGAAGTTTGGTGATGAGGCATTAAAGAAAGGAAGGCCCCAGAGAAGCTTAGAAGACATCTCATAGGCCTAAAAGAGGGATGAGATTTTAGAGGTAGCGCTTGACTGTTAGGATGGAGAGCTGAGCCTGGCTGTGCTAATGTGTGGCTGACGAGGTGGGGAGATGTAGCTAGTATGATGGAGGGATCGTGAAAGGAAGGGTTGGAAGGGCCTTCCCACAATACAAGGGAAGCTGGGTTCATCATTTAGGATGGTGGTTCTCAAGCTTGAGTATGCATCCGAATAACCTGGAGGTCATGTGGAAATACAGACTTCTGGACCCCAGCTACTGAGGTTCTGATTGAGAAGGACTGGGGTCAAGCCAAAGAATTTTCATTTCTAAAGTGCTTAGGTCCATGCAACATACTTTGAAAATCACAGTAGATGGAGAAATAAGTCCTGGAGACGGCAAGACTATAGCAACAGTGACTTGAAGACATGGTACCATCGAGTATCATTCAAATATTATTATTGCAGGTTTTGTAATTCTGAACTTACCTTTAATTGGAATTTACATAAGGAATCAAATGATAATATGATTACAACTCCAAAAAATTAGATATTCTTGTGGACAAATATAGGTGAAAAATGGAAAAGTTTTTTGAAATAATTTTTTTGAGAGTGTGAGTGTGAGTGGGGGAGGGGCAGAGGGAAGATGGGTGGGAGGAGGGGAGAATCCCAAGCAAGCTCTGCAGTGTCAGCACAGAGCCCAGCTTGGAGCTCAAATGTACCAACCCTGAGGTCACGACTTGAGTGGAAATCAAGAGTCAGACGCTCAACCAACCAAGCCACCCGGGCGCCCCTGGAATAATTTCTTTAATTTGCTGTGTTTTACCTCTGGCTGCACCTTGCCTGTGCACCAATATAAGCACCCTTATCACTATAGCAATGAGAAGTTTCTCAACTTTAACTTTTAGCACTGTTGTTGCAATACTGTTGGTACTAAAAAGAAAGTTTCTCAGTAACCGACACAAACTTCAGCTTGCCTGAGAAATCCTCAGAAAGCTGGGACAGAAATGGAGATAATGTATTATAAAAGGAAAAGAATTCAATCAGCACCAGCATTTAGCAAAACCACTGTAAGGAGAAAAAAGAAATCCAAATGCGGGTGGAGCTGGTTTCAAATGAGAGACAAAGAGAGTCAAGCATAGGGTTGCATTTGCTCTAACCCCATGTCCTCTCTCACGCTTGCTTTTCAGGCTAACTGCCAGGCAGCCAAAGGACAGTATGTTCACTCAGGCCCTGCTGGTGCTGCCTCCACTCAGTCCCTCTTCACAGCCTCTTATACCTACTAGAACCCGAGGCCGGCCAGCCTGCCTCTAGCCCTCCTACATACCTTGGTTGGAGTGCTGAAAGAGAACAACTGACCTTGGAGATGAGACAAAATCAGAACTACTGGAAACACAGAACCTGCTAAATTCTTAGACTCAATGAAAAAAAAATCAAGTTACTAAAACGTAGGTGTGAATATCAAAGATCTGACAAAACTTCACACAATTTCCTTGCAAACTTCCAGCCTTCCACACCCCAGAGTATCCACCTAAGAATAGACTTGAAAATGGTACCAGCTCTCCATTCAAATAACAACATCCCAAAGTAACATCTCAGGGGCTGAGTGCAGAGAAGTGGGTCTTATTAAACAATCTTAGCAGTGGTAGGTTTCAAAAGAGACAGCTGCAACCAACAAAGCAATAAAATGTTCTAGAAGCCTTTGGTTGGTATCAGGTTCTACTTTTTGCTCTTGCTTCCAAAAGGTTCAGTATATTTCATTACCTTTGACTCTACTAAACATGACTGACATTAATAGTTAGAGTTCTAAACTTGGGCTTCTCATGGGAATAACCTGCCAAAAATGAAAACATCCAGATGTTCAGCCCACACTGCAGCCCAATTAAATCAGAAACTGTGGATGTGGGATCCCCTAAATATCAGGGTTTCTTAATAGCTCCCTTGGTGATTCTAACGTTCAGCCAAGTTTGAGAGCTACCACGCTAAATTTCAAGTTTGAGGATATTTTTAAACAAAAGCCCTTCATAATAAGAAGCAAGCTAAAATGTAAAGTGATTTCAAGCAGCGCACTGAGTATAATGGGAGAGAATCAGTGTGGCTGTGATGCCTGCAGCACTCCTCTTGAAGCGGCCCAGATTTGGGGATACAGACTACTCTCCCTCTGCACATCTAAGCATGCTACCTCATTTTGCAGTAAATACTATTCACACAGTTGTACGTTATTGGCTTTCAATTTTCAGAATTAGCCTATAGAAAAAGCATTAAAGACAACCATACTTAGAAAAGAGAATTTAAGTATTATAATTTTGTGCAATATAAAAATAATGCTTTGGGTGGGTAAAAAAATAATGATTGAACAGAAGAACCTAGGAGATTAAAGGAAGAGGAGTGGAGAGAAGTGAGGGGAACATTAATTCACTTAGTGGGAAATCAAGATACTACTAAAATCTGATAGATTAAGAAATAGTTCTTAAAAGAAGAAATAGTGCTTTAAGTCTATTAAAGGGAATGAATATATATCACTGAAATATTCATACATATAATTAAATATAGGAGAAGGTAGTAAACTAACTTTTTTGTCTTGACAAGTACAAAGATAAATGATATTGCTTAGAGTAGATAAATTAAGAACTAGAGGCATAAGCAAAGTATTTAGGGCAGGAAGGGCTTTGTTTGAGGAGAGAGACCTGGGAGTGGGGCACAGGGAAAATTTTTAACTCATGTGCCTCCACCATACTTGAGTATCTGTTTTCATGTACCCATATTACTTCTTATATATTCATATAAGCAATTCAAACCTACCTTAGAGATCATTTGGTGCGAGACTTTCACTTTACAGATGATAAAACCAAGCCTAGAGCAGTGAAATTACTTGCCAATGGTCACACATATAGGGGTTTAGGATAGAGCTGAGAGATTAGAATCCAGGTCTCTTTCTCCTATAATGGACACATGGCCAGGAAAGAAGGTAAGGACAGGGCAACAGGTGGTGTTCAAAACCTCTACCACCAGTGTTGTAGGTCTTCTACGTTTCTTACCTCATTCATTCATTCATTCATTCACTTATTCAGTCAGCAAGTAGTTCAGCTCCTACCATGTGCTAAGCTCCCCTAAAGCTGGCAACACCTTATGTGACAAAACTCATCTGCCAGGCAATTTTTATCTAGAGCTCACTCAGCATCACTGACCCTATGTTGTAAAGAAACCTTCTAGACTCTCATTTTTTGGTTGAGCAAGAATCTATAATCAATGTATTTGATCCAGGCTGAATTACATTTCCCTGGGGCTGAGGATTTATATAATGCATTTTCCTGGCTATCATCTGATATATTTTCCCAATTAAAGCACTACAGTTGTCTTTGAAATCTCAACCCCAGTAATTTACTCCACTGAGAGTAATATGAAGACAAGTTTTATAAGACTACTGACTTTAATTTCTATTAAGTGTATGATCACTGAGGGAGCACATTAATGGGTTCCTACCTTTTGGCACACTGTCAGATTTATTCTAGTTATTGAACACCTACTAAAAATAAAAGTTGGTACTAGGCACTGAAGGTAATTAAGAGAAGTTTCAGCCTTAGGCTAGGTGCAATATTTGCATACCACACAATCGCACTTAAGTAGCTGTAAGCAAGAAACACCGATGTCATTGACTAGATGTTGGGAAGTGGGAGGAGACAGCATCTAGGGTGAGCACCAAGGTATGGCCAAAGGGAAGGAACTCTTAGAACTGCCTTTGCGTAAGAAAATTTACTGGGAGGAGAGGATATCTTAAAGGCATAAGCACCAAAAGTGGGAGAAGCCAGAGCAATATGGAAGTGAGGGAGGTGACTAAAGCACTTTTAAGAAGGTGGAGAAATAGCAAGCAACCTGAAGACATTTGTCTGCTTGAGATGAAGAGCTGAGTTTCGCACATGAGTGTATATCATGCTGTCCAAAAACAAGATACTGAGATGATTCATAATGATTCATAATGTGAATTTAGCAGAAGCTGAAGCCAACTGTGACAATGAGAATATGAGCCTCTAGAACCTTGCAGAGATCTTGGAACAGGCTTTAGGCAAAGCAGGAATAAGACTTCAAGTCCATCTGATGTAGCTCTCCTGGGGTGAAAACCTCCAGGTTGACATCTACATTCCACTATTAGCAACAGATGAGGAAACCAGGGCCCAGGGTGCTAAGGCAGTAGTCCAAGGTCACATCACCAGTAGGTGAGACTCACAAAGTCCTCTTGGAAGGCAGAACTTGGAGTGGTGAAAAACACCTGTTCTGGAGTCACAGTCTAGGTTCAAACACTGGCTCTGCCACTTGCTAGCCATGGGACCTTGGGCACATTATAGAACCTTTCCATGGTTTAGTTTCTTCATCTTCAAAATAAAAAAAAAATACAGCATTGCAAATTATTGAGAGATTAAATGAGTCAATACATCTCAATAACAGGTTCACATCCCTTATTACAATTTTCACAATTCTGAAATCCAAAAACTTCTGGAAACCAAAAATGTTCTCCTGAGTTTGCAGCAAATTGGCAGCAAAATGTGACTCGAGACTGTCACCTTTATTCCACTTGATGGGATACAGAGATAATGTGTCTGATTTTAGGTGCTGACTCAGACCCTGCAGAGGGAGTTATACAATATGTAACATAAGCACTATATTTAATCTCTAAAATCTGAAAAATTCTGATTTCTAAAACACATACACCCTCAAGGCTATCAGATAAAGAATTGTGGACCTGGCCTTAGAACAATATCTATCTCACATTAGGGTAAAAATGAATTACCTATGTTCTATAGAGCTCAGAGGGCTCATATAATGCTACCAGTTCCCCAAGCCCATTTTCTAGAAAGGATGGATGAAGAGACAGATGTAATGGCAAGGGTCAACACAGCCAGTCATAGCTCTTTTTTCATTACTCAAATAAATGTTTTTCTGGCTATAACACAATCTGTCCTAATCTCCTGAAATGGTTGAACACGCAATGCTGGGTATCATTCTATAACATTTATAAAATCAGTCAACAAGTATTCATTTAGCAACTACTGTATACTTGGTGATGTAAAACTACATCATGGTCCTTGTATGCTTACCACTGAGATGAGGAAGACACGGACACAGTTAGGAAACAAAATGGTACACAAAATGTGCTAAATTACAGTGGCATAGGCTATGTGCTGAGATCAAAGGGGCTTTATAAAGACAGTGGGATGAATTACAGTTTATTACTAGTTATATGATCTTGGGATCTTGAGTCTCAATTTCCAATTTTGTAAAACAGGATTTCTGTGAGGTTAGCAATATTTTATGTATAGTGCCAGATATATAAGTTATGAATGAATATTATATTTTTTTCCTTGTCAGTTGGCTGCTGAGGAATGGAAAGGTACTTGAGTGAAGATGAATTAACTGTATGCTGATTACAGATTGGATATGTTGAGGACATTGTTGGAACTTAGAAGAATGAGGTCAAGTGGAGTGACACAGTGGAGAAGGGGAGATTGGACAGGGATATTATGGAAAGTCTTACCTTGAAGTAATGATAAATAGGGATCTGTGAATAATTTTTGAGTAGGAAATAACATAAAAGAATAGTGCTGATAATTATTTTTTTTTTGGAAGGTAGAGGGTTGGGAGAATGGGGAAGGTGGGGAGCAGCTAAGGGTGTAGAACTGCAATACAGCACAGGCCGAGACTCATGGGGGGGGCGGGGGAGTGGACATGACATCTTTACACTGGAGGAAACAACAACAGAAAACTCTCATGGAGCATTGCTATTTACCACCCTAATAAAGTCTCTATCTTATTGCAACTCAACAGGCAAGTGTTGGGACAAATAAAAATTAAAACCTCTTCTCATCTGCTTTTCAGAAAGAAGCTTACATGCATGTCCAGACTCGGCCCTTTGAGTTATGTGGTGGCACAGTGAAATATAAAGCATCTTCTAAACCCAGCACTGATTGCTCTGTTATTTCAGAATGGCCAGGGCTAGCTCAGCTGTAGCCCAAGATCTCAGATGTCAGGGAAATCTATCCTGCCCTCTTACAAAATTCAAAGTCAAACATGTTTCTGCAGACACTTCCTCCAACTTTTCTTGTCCTGCCCTGGTTTTCCCTGGGAGGTTTTATAGGCTAAAGAAGTCAGAGTGCACTTCTTGGTCCCGGGGATGCAGTGACTATCATGTGATGTGAAGGTTTATCTTAGCTGTTGAACATAAGAAGCATGTTCTTGAGATCATGGCTTCTGGACAGGAAAAAGGACAGGTAGAGAGATATGCACTGTTTTTTGTTTTTTCTTTTCGATAAAATGTATCAAGACTCAGCATTTTGGCAAGTTAGGTCATTTCCCCCCATTCTTTATGCTATTGAGTACATATGGCTTACTATTCACTTCCCAAAGTCTCCTTGAGGATAAAGGACTGTTTGAAGCAACACTGCAACTAATACTTAATAACATCTGGCAGGTATTTAAAAATACGTGTTAATTGAATTTGAACCATTTGTGTACTAAAGTAAATGTAACTGTCGTATTTTCCATGCATTATGGTTATAGAGATAGCCTTAATTAAAAAGAAATCAACCAACCCACTCCTTGGCCACCCACTCAAGGACACAAAACAAATTTGGAGGGCATCAAGAAGAAAGGTGAAAAGTATTAAATACTGATTAGGAACAGTAACTTTTTAAAAAGGATTGGAATATTTGGACTAGGT